ATACGCCACGACTCGGTTCGCTGCACTGGGCGCGGGTAAACGACGGGAGTAGATGTGCCTCTCTTAATAAAGGGCCGTAACGCGGTTGACAACGCCTCGGGCTGAGGCGCGGGTGCCGCATATCTGATTCTTTCATACGCCACGACTCGGTTCGCTGCACTGGGCGCGGGTAAACGACGGGAGTAGATGTGCCTCTCTTAATAAAGAGCCGTAACGCGGTTGACAACGCCTCGGGCTGAGGCGCGGGTGCCGCATATCTGATTCTTTCATACGCCACGACTCGGTTCGCTGCACTGGGCGCGGGTAAACGACGGGAGTAGATGTGCCTCTCTTAATAAGGGCCGTAACGCGGTTGACAACAACGCCTCGGGCTGAGGCGCGGGTGCCGCATATCTGATTCTTTCATACGCCACGACTCGGTTCGCTGCACTGGGCGCGGGTAAACGACGGGAGTAGATGTGCCTCTCTTAATAAAGAGCCGTAACGCGGTTGACAACGCCTCGGGCTGAGGCGCGGGTGCCGCATATCTGATTCTTTCATACGCCACGACTCGGTTCGCTGCACTGGGCGCGGGTAAACGACGGGAGTAGATGTGCCTCTCTTAATAAGGGCCGTAACGCGGTTGACAACAACGCCTCGGGCTGAGGCGCGGGTGCCGCATATCTGATTCTTTGATACGCCACGACTCGGTTCGCTGCACTGGGCGCGGGTAAACGACGGGAGTAGATGTGCCTCTCTTAATAACGGGTGTGACGCGATAGAGCGCGCCTCGGTGAGCGACGCGGATGCGGCATATACGGGATGTCCGCGAAGTTGGGGTTTTCCTTTTCAGAAACAACTACCCTTGAAATAACAAAGGTAATGTGTAGTGAAACGACAACGACCGAGTAAATAAAAAAATATTGGTGAAATTACTCTCTCTCCAGTTGACCAGAAGGGCTAAGTACGTCTCTGCCAGAAATCATACCGCTCCAACAGAAAATGAAATCAGCTGATGCGCTACCGAGCAGACGTAGGCTAACAAGGAAGGTAAAATGTTGCGTAAATAGTCTAGGTATTGCATCCCGTCCAATCGATTTGGGAGAATAAATTGTCCAATGAGCATACCGTTCACCATGCCAGCCCTATCATTCACCGAAAATGTTTGTTGAAAATGTGCCCGACGCGTGAACATAGATTCGTCTGTCACACGAATATGCACTTCAAAGAGTCCGGATTATTGTCATGTTGATGCAACAACTACTCACAAAACCGCACTCTTGCTGGAAAATCGTCAGGTTGAAGGGCTTGTACACGTTAGACGTGAAACGGATACAGCCCCTCTTCACGCAGCGCTTGCCACACTTTAGTTTTTGATACTTGCACTTCTCTAGCCACGTCTCTAGTGCTCGTTGTTTTTTATTGAAACGCAATCGATTATACCGGTTCGTTTACCTCTACGCGCGCGTGACCGTGACCGTCGGTTGCAGGTTGCATACCGACCTGACACACTGACCCCGACCACCCAGTTCTGTCGTCGGGTTGTTCTAGTACCAGTCGGGGATGTCGCGGCTACAGGACGGTTTTCAGATACTTTTGATGTTGCAGCAACCGCGGGTTCTCCTAGTCTCCTAGTCAAGGTTCCAACTAGCGGGTGCCAACTGGGACCTTGGTCTAGGGTACCTGGTTCTGCGGTTGCGATGCCTCTCGTCCGGATCGTAGTTCATGAGGAATCGTAGCTGCTCGTTAGGGTGGTCCTGAGCTTTCTGGAAGGTCTTCTCCGCTTTTTTCCTCATGTACTCGTGAATGGTGTCCCAATGCAGGTCTCTACGCAAGGTTGAGTTTCTTACGTAGGATGGATCGGTTGGTGGCGATCCGGAGTAGCTTCATCTCTAGAGCAGCGTACCCCCAGACCGCGGAGGCGTAAGCGAGCTGAGGTCTGGCGATGGCCTTGATCAGCCGTAGCTTGGTCGCTAGCGGCATCCGGCTGTGTCTACCCAGTATTGGGTAGAGTTGAGCCATGGCTGCTCTGGTCTTTGCGATGACAGCTTCTATGTGTGGTCTTTCCAGGTGAGGGACTTGTCAAATACGATCCCCAGATATTTGACCTTGTCGCTCCACTGGATATCTTCGTCGATGATGGATGCTTCGAGAGGGCTTGCAATCCTTCTTCGTTGGATGAAGATTGCCTGCGTCTTCTGGACGTTGATACGGATTTTCCATTTCACGCAACAGTCCAGTTCATCCTGTAGTCTGCTACGGATAATCTCGGGTCGTCGATGCTTAGCGGCGATAGCAATGTCATCTGCATATAGGGCCAGCATTGTGTGAGCTGTCTTCGGTACGTCATGAGTATAGATGTTGTAGAGCAGGGGGGACTGAGGCTGACTCCTGGAGCACGCCTGCTACCAGCTGTCGTCGTGTTGAATGGCATGTACCAATCCTCACCGCGAACCGTCTTTGTGTTAGATAGCTCTGGATCAGTTGGCACATGTTTGCATCGGCGGTCCTGGCTGCTCTA